TTGGGCTTTTTAAATATTAGTAATAGAGTCAAACAACTAAGACTCAATCATGTTTTTAACATTTTTAACAATATATGCCCAAATTATTTACATACTAATTTTGTTAAAAATGAAACATCTTTCAATACAAGATCTAGTAGTAAAAACTTTTATATACCAGGAATTAAAGGGTGTGAATCAACCACTTTCTTTTATAATGGAATAAAAGACTGGAATTCGTTACCAGACATGATTAAAAGTTGCTCTAAAAAACATAATTTTAAAGTGCAGGTGAAAAAATTTTTGATGGATAAATTTAAATCCATCTTTAATAGTGAATTTGTTTTTTATTAATTATACTGGGGATTTGACCATTTATCTGTGATAAATTCTAAATGATTTGTGCTTGTTTTTTCTATGTGTCAACCCTTGGTGTAAACTGGAAGTCTCGTTATAAAAGGACCCCACTGGAAATAAGTTTTACTAACTTTTGTGGGTCATCCTAAGATATTAGGCCACAGTGTAAAATCTAGTCAAGTTAAATTTCATTCATTTTTAATCTAGTCTAATCATATTATCAAAATATCATGAAAATTTTCATAATTTTATTTTTTATTTCTTAATTTAAAATTTTTAGTAAACATGTATATCAATTTAGTGTCTATAAACTATGTCTAGTGCTGTATCTGTGTCTTTGTAATATTTTGTATCTGTCAAATTCATGCCTTTTTATCTTGAATAAATATATATATATATATCATTAGTTCACGCACCTGCTCACGCCCCCCCCCTTTTTTTTAACAAACTTAACATCAGTTAATTTGCTTCTTGAAATGAGTCTAAACTGCAGAACTATTCGTCGCGGAAACTGTCCACTATAGGGTAACTATAAAATAATTTTAGAGGTTATTATAATGTAATTTTTGGATAACTGAAAAACCTTCAATATGCCGCCATTTTCCGTCAAATACGTACGTTCCACATTCACGTTCCATCCTGATGTCATAGAAACGTTTTCATGGCTCAAAATACATTTAATACTTCGGGTACATTCTCTTGTTCCTGTACATATTCAATTTTATTCACGAATATCTGTGTTTTAAGAAAAATAATCCACAATTAAGTTCTTACCTTCGTGTAGCCGCCGCTTTACAAGTGAATAAATAATTAACCCTTATAAAACCTTAACTATCTATTTTGTGAACCTTCCAGTATCTTTAATAAAGACCCCTAACAAATGTTGAATATCTTCTATGTGATGTTTGTAATTTTCATTTTCTGTTGTTGCTAATAATACTTCTGATTCAAGTGTTAGTTTTGATGTTATGAAGTAGAGTGCAGAGCGGAGTTTCTCTCTAGCCTCCTCATAATTTTCACAATACAATAGATAATGGTCAACTGTTTCTATTTGTCCACAGCTGCATTTGTCAGTGAGTGCTGGGCATATCATTGATTTGTAAGAGTTTAAATTACAATATCCTGTTCTTATACTAGTGGTTATCCGATATATTTCAGTTGACGGCTTGTCTTTTGGAATTGTATTTTTTACATTTTGTTGAAAGGAATAATATCTTCTTCCTTTATCACTGGTGTCCCATCGGTTTTGCCATTTTAACATTACACTGACTTTTGCTCCTTTTTGAATATCTTGTTTTGTAAAAATTGGAATGCTTTGTATTTTTTCTGCCTCCTGTGCTGCTTTTTTAGCTAGTTGGTCTGCTAGTTCATTACCTTGTATATCAGCGTGTCCAGGGGTCCATTCAATGGAAACAATGATTCCTTCAGATTTTAGTGCCAATATACCGATTTTAATATCATGAATAGTTTTGCTGTAATTATCTGATTTCCAATTTAAAGTTAAAATTCCAATTGCTGATTGGCTGTCCGAGAAAATTTTGATGGATTCAGTGTTTTTTCTGTTGTTTGGAATTATTAGAAAATCTATTACCAGCTTGATAGCTACTAATTCCCCTAATAAAATAGATCCTCTATTGGAAACTGACTGTGTTAACTCCACATGTTCTGTGCTGTTTGATATTAAAATAGCTGCCCCAGCCCCGCATGGACATGGGTTTCCTTTGCAGGAGCCATCAGTGAAAGCTAATGTTGTATTCTTTTTTAGTTGATGTATTTTTTCCAAAATAATAGTCTTTCCCTGAAATGCTTGTTCCTCTGATCTAGACTTTGAACTTCCGAGATTTTTCCAATACTCTGGTGGTGATTTTGAGGCTGCTAACCCTCGGAATTCAAATTGAGACTCTATACAATCAGAATCAATCTCTGTTGACCTCTTCATGTCTTCAGACTGTAATACCATTCTTCCAATTGGTGAGATTATTTTTTCAGGTTCATTTATATTTTTCCAATTTTCAAAAATTTGTTTAATAGGGATAGTGATTTTATATGATTTTATTTTTGTAATTTGTCTTATACCGGCTTCTTCTCTTTCAAGGTCCAGTGGAAGTATTCCTGCTACTACTTCTAAGGCTTCTATACTAGCTGTAGTTGGTTGGTTGAGACATAAGGCTAATCCTTTTCTTTGAATAGCATTTAATTTATTTATATGCGTGTTGTTGTTGATTTGCCATACACTGCTAGCATATAACACTGTAGACAGCACTATACTTTGATATATTTGTATTAAAATTTTTGTAGATACCTTTGCTATTCCCTTGATGTTTCTGATTATCCCTAAGGACTTTTGTGCTTTTTGCTCAACAGTGTCTATGTGTTTATTGAAATCACATTTTTCATCTAAAGTAAGGCCTAACATTTTGGGGTTTGGATTGTATTTTAATTCCTTTCCTTGTAACATTATCTTGATGTCCTCCTTTGTTATACCATTTCTGGAAAATACACAAAATTCTGTGTTTTCTATACTGAGGTTTATTCTCCATTTTGTTGACCATTCATGGATGGAGTTAATATCTTTTTTTAACTCCTTCACTAATTCATGTTTGTCTTTGCCTGTTTTCCATATTGTCCCATCATCAGCAAATTTACATTTGTTAGAGGAAATTTTAGCAAAAATATCAATAATAAAGATGTTGAAAAGTAAGGGGGATATAACTGAGCCTTGTGGAAGCCCAATTTGAGTTTTAAACCATTGTCCCTGATGCTTGTTTATATTACATCTTGCTTCTCTGTCTTTTAAAAAATTCTCTATCCATTTCCAGATTTTACCTTTAATTCCATATCCATGTAAGTTTGTTAAAAGTCCTTCTCTCCAAACACTATCATAGGCTTTTTCTAGGTCAATCATTAATGCGATAGTACTTTCATCTTTATTAAATCCATTAAAGATGTTTTGAACAAATGATAATAAAGCATTGTCGGTGGAGCGGAAATGTCGAAAACCTTCTTGTTCTTTATCTAATATAAATTTTGACTCTACATAACCTTCTAACCTTGATGTTACTATTCTCTCCATTAGTTTACCTAGTATGCTTGTTAAGCTAATTGGACGATATGATGATGGATTATTGTAGTTTGGTTTACCAATTTTTTTGATGAACTTGACATTTGCTTGTTTCCATGATTTTGGTAAGGAACCTTCATCCCATGATTTGTTAATTATATATAATAAAGTGCTATACAGATTATCATCTCCATTAATAAATAGTAATGAAAAGTAATTATCAGGTCCTGGACAAGTTTCATTTTTTAGTCTGTAAACTGCACCAGCCAGCTCATCTTGTTCTATGGCAAAGTTGATATTAATATCATTGACATCCTCTAAATGTTGTTCTTCATCCTCTGAGATTGAATGATATTTGTCCATTATTTCTGTATAAAATTCTGCATTAAAGGAAATGGGATTTAAGTGTTTTCCTTTGAAGAAAGTTGTTTCTAGTTCTTGACATTTTTCTTCTTCTTTAAATGCTACGTTTCCATTTCCATCAACAAATGGAAGTACCATGTTATTATTTTTCTTCTTTGTCATTTTTCTAAATTCACTCCATTTGTCCTTGACATTAGATGCGTTTGAAAGCTTTTCTGCTAGGTTGTTTCCCCATTCCTCTTGAGCCAAATCCTTCACTTTGTTGAAATTAATTTCTGCTTGTTTGAGATTTTCAAAATTATTCGGAGTACTTTTAACTTTGAATTTACGTTGTGCTTGATTAAGGCTTTTTTTGCTATCTTTTACGGCGTCATCCCACCAAACCGGGTGCCTATGAGCAAAGAACTTTTTTTTCTCAATTTTTGGAATTGACTCTTCCATGCATTCCATAACTTCCTTTTCAAATCTGTTATACAAATCTTGTACCTTTTCCTCTCTATTAAATATAAAATTTTGGAATCTCTCTTTTGTTGATTCTTTCCATTTTTTCCAATCTGCTTTTTTCAAGTTCCAGGTTTCATCTATTTCTTCTATTTCAACATTTTCTTCACTTTGGATGTTTAAGTATACAGCAATATGGTCAGATTGTACAGTTTCATGAGTAAGAGTAATGCAGTCTGAGACAGAATTGTACGTTTCACCGCCAGGCAAAATCGATGACGTAATACGCAGGAAATTGGGTGGTTTCCCTAGCCACAAGTACACGCACACGTACAAGTCCTGATGCTAAACCTCTCTAATAATAAAGTAATTATCCAATAAATACTAAAATTTCATAATAATAAATAATGTATCTACAATTTTATGTTAAGAAATGAAGCATCATTGAATTTCAATCATTATTATATATTAAATTTCCGATTTTTATTAGTATCACATGTATTTGTTTTATTCTGTGTAGATAAGCTTTCATGAGTGGGGCGAGTTGGCAGACATTTATTATATATTAACGGGATTTTAACCGTTGGCCTTTTTCATAAGTGGGCGAGTTGGCAGGAGTAAGTTTAACGGGATTTAAACTTTTCCATGAGTGGGTCGAGTTGGTTAACCAGAGCTGAACGATTTTTTAAAAAATGGGGCGAGTTGGTAAACAAGAGTGGGGCGAGTTTTGTGAAAAAGTGGGGCTATTTGGCGTGGGGCGATTTGGCATTGGGGCGAGTTGTCTTGCTTCCGACACACACATCTAAGTTTGAAAAATGGCGGCGTTGAAGAAGCAGAAGACATTCTACGATAAAAAAAAAGAATTTTCAAAATTTGCAATTCCAGCAATGAAAATAGATTCCGTCTTGCACCAGTATGAGCGAAGATTGAAGCCGCTTATCTTCGAGATATGCAACGGTGGTTACCCTTGGTCTTTTACCGATGCTTTTATTCAATATCGTAAACAAAAATTAAATTTCAATTTCGACCTGTGGTACATGTATAGTTACAAGAAACTGATCGATATTATAGCGGGAGAAGAGGATAATATTGCAAAAGATGACAGACCAATTTTTGAATGTTTATTTGATTTTTTATCCGGTAAGTCTTTTACATCTTGCATGTAACTGTTAAACAGGTTGGGGATAATGGTCATTTAATTTAGGGGGGGGGGGATGAAATGGGAAACGAAATAGAAACGAAAAGAAACAAAATGAAATGAAATAAGAATTAATGAAAAGGGATCTCCTGTAGTTGGTGATCGCAATACTGGTATACTAGTATTTAGTCCGAGATTACTCTGACGTCCAACGGCTGTTTTGCCAGACAAGCTGGGGCCGTGGCCCCAGCTTGTCTGGCAAAACAGCCGTTGGACGTCAGAGTAATCTCGGACTAACTAGTATTGTGCACAATACTGGTATAAAAATTTTGTACCAGTATTGTATTCCAGTATTGTACCAGTATTGTGTTTTTTTAAAATAAACAATACATATAGGTAATTAATCTTTTATTAAAGGTGTCACATATATATGCATAATGATATTAACATATGACATGACAATCTTATATGGAATGATTGTATGTTTAACTGATGATGCCATTGATGGTACACTGTGATTGTAATCAAAGAAAGTTTTAAAATATTCTGATGTTTTTTTCTTTAGGGAACCGTACTGTTTCAGCATTTTATCAAACTCTTTACTTTCTTCTATGTTTTCTTCCAGCTCTCTCTTTCCAAGACTCAATAGTATATTTTAGTGAATTTTATATTGACATTAATGCTGTTATAGCTTCTGTATCATCAGCATTGGTATTGTTAATTTCTTCTTCAGATGGCATTTCTGCAACCCCCACTTCCTATACTGATATTTAGGTATTCAGTCTGTGGACTTTCTCTTACGCTTACTAGATTACAAGCTTGTTTAGATAGCACCTGTACGGCTCTCTTACTGTAGGAGTGCTGGTCTAGTATTAGTATTTGAGTATTTGTACCAGTACGGCAGTAGATATATCTGCTACAAATTGTATTGCCCATGGTTCTGAATCAACTGCTTTAACTACCCTTAACATTCATGTAGACAAACTAGTTAATTTGATTATAATCAGGTTCCCCTATTAAGCAACTTTTTATGTTTATTGGATATTGATATCTTTTATCATGTTTATTGTGAAAGATTAATAAGAAAATAAATTGAATTAAATAAAATATAGAAATATGATAAAATTATTAGCAATTATTTATGTAATTAACAATTGTTTGAATAAGATGAGTTAATTACAATAATCTTTTGTTTATTTGTACAAGTATATGAATTATTTTTAACTGGTTGTTAATTGATTTCACAATTATCCTCTATAATCTTTTTGAGTTCATTTAATCTCTCTTTGATCTTCAATATCTAATTTTGCTTAAAATTCATTTTTCAAATACACCTTAAAGTATAGTGAACAATACAACTACAATACTGGTATATCAGTAATGTACCAGTATTGCTGTTTTTTTTTTTTAAAGTAACAATACTGGTACAAAATTTTTATACCAGTATTGTGGACAATACTGGTATACCAGTATTGCGATCACCAACTACAGGAGATCCATGAAAAGAAACGAAATAAAACTAAAGTTTGATTAAACATAAACCATGAACAGGAAATAGGAGCAAAAGGTAAAGGCGGATTCAAAATTTCCCAGAAAGGAGATGGTGTAAATGCTCTTTTGTTCCGACGTTGGAAAGTTCCGGGCGGAAAGAACTAACTAGCCGAAAAGTTCCGGAGGAACTTATTAACTAGTTACTTTGTTCTTCCTCTGGTTTAAAAGTTCCACCGGAACAAAGTGACTAGTTGAAAAGTTCCAACGGAACATATCAACTAGTTAGAAAGTTCCTTTTTGCCAAATTAGTCAAAACCGGAACTAACAAACTAGCCCAAAAGTTCCAACGGAACTTATCACCCAGACAGAAAGTTCCATTTGGAGAATTGATGCAAAGTAAAAGCGCAACATATTATATTTGAACCTTTCAAAGGGAAACCAAGATACTGATTACAAAAGTCAAAAGGAACTTATCAACTAGCCACAAAGTTCCTCTTTAGCAAATAAGTCAAAACCGGAACTAACAAACTAGCCCAAAATTTCCAACGGAACTTTTCAACCAGTCACAAAGTTCCATTTGGAGAATTGATGCAAAGAACCACATGAGGAGGGGGGTATTCTCCCCTCTTTTGAGGGTACTATGAATACTAAATTTGCATGATAATGCAACTTATTCCGTTTTATGTGAACTATGAAATACAACTTAAATTTTGCATATTTCTCCCCAAAGAAACCACTTTCAGTGCGTTGGGTATTCTTGTAAATTAATGATTTGCTCTTATATATACTGATACTCATTCTTCCCCTTCTTTCTACGAAAAGGACGAAATATGGTATATTCGGAACGATGTAACTAGTTGTTCTGTTCCGCCAGAACTATTCAACTAGCTACATTGTTCCGGGACTTTTCAACTAGCTACTTTTTTCCGGAACTTTTCGACTGCACTCGGAATAAAACAACTAGTTGGAAAGTTCCATCGGAACGAAATAACTAGTTGAAAAGTTCCGCCGGAACAAAGTTACTGACGGAACATAGTGGCTGTTACAATGGTACATTTATTTTATACACCTTATCGCTATTTAGTCCAATCCGGAAAAAAACAGTCATTTAGACAACTTCCTGTTTGGGTCAACAGGCCTTGAACAGGTAAACAACAAAGGTCATCAGTAACGAGCTGAGGGAGGAAAAAATTTAGAAAGCGATCAATACGAAACTTTGATCAGTCAGGGGACTTACTTAAATGAGTGATTTTCTAAATCACTGATTCAAGTAACATTATGTCCATAAAGGTTGGAAGTAAGAGTTGTCTTTCTTAAATAATCACCTATTTAAGTAGTACAAATTAATCACTAGACTAAGTGATTTAATTCTATTGTACATGTAGCTTTAAATATAGAATACTAATGATCCAGGGACTAATTATGTTGCTAAAATTATCAGAACCAACATCTGTGTTGATAGAATGACCAGGTCATGTCAGGTGATGACCTTGTACTAAATCTAGGGTAATGACATAAAAATCACTTGTTTAAGTATCATACCTCAATTTCCTTCCAAAAAATCACTTCTTTAAGTATCATTATTTTAATACCCCCACTAATTTCAACACCCCCGAACAGTGAAATTTTGATCGCGAACAGTAGAATTTTATTACATAATCTATAAGATGAAACCTTGAATTTTACAGGAAAAATACTCCCACTGCTGGGAAAAATCTGTAAAGAAAGTATCAGTTCATTATGTAAAGCCATTTTTATAGCATTTTTTCAACTAAAATAAAATTTGCAGCTAAATGATTGCATCAAAGGCATAAACCTTGCTGCTTAAAAGAAGCAAAAAGTTCATTTTTTTCAATTTTACTAATGAAAAGATATTATCTAAACCTATGTGTTTAAAATTTTGGTAAAACTAAAAAATCACAACTTGTGAAAAAACTTCGAATTTGCTACTTAAATAAGTGATTTAAAAATCACTTATTTAAATAAGTCCCCTGACTGTTGATAGATTATGATCCACTTTTTCGAAACTCAAATTATAGTCAAAAAATGTTTTGTTTGAAGTATTTACGATGTTTTAAACAGATCTCATTAAAAAGTATCATGCATGGTGTATTGTTTAAACAGGGCCCCAGATACATTGAGATAGCTTCAACTGGATGAAAAAGTTGTATAATTTTAGAACTTATCCAGAATGGCGATTAGATGTATTGTAAAAGCAGAGGCCGGTACCAATCATCCTGTGATGTTTTTTAAAATCCAGATAAAGGAGGGCGGGGACCGGTGGCCCTCTCTAAACTCAACAATAGGCCCCAGAGACTTATATTGGAAATACAATATTGCATGCCTCTTTTTAAAGTATTAACTATGACTAACATCTGTTTATTTTTCAAAATTTGTAATGCCAATGGTAGTACTTATATTGGCCAGGGGGCAGCTGTCACGATTCCTCTTATTGATCAGTCAGAGGGTTCATTCCTCCTATTCCCACTTTTTATAAATCTGGTAAGAAAAGTTAAAATTGCATGTGCGAATAGGAGGAAAACTTGTGCAAACAAAGGATTATACTGTATAAACATTGTTTAATCAACTTTTAATTGACAAGGTTTTTTTTTATAGGTAATAGGTTATTTTTGTATGTGTATGAATTCTGTGTTTTTAATTTAAATAAATATGCAAGAAATGGAAACAAATATAAGTAATTTATTTTATTTCTTTTATAACATAAATTCAACAGTAGATTCAAGCAAGCATTATAATATGAAACAAACTATACAAATTAACAAGATTCAAGATTCTTTATTCCTCAAACACCATATAGTTACAATGGTACAAAGAAGTTCATCAAAAGTTATAACATAACATGAACACACATGACAGGATGAGATGCAAAAAAAAATAATAAAATAAACAGTAGTGGGGAAGAGCGGTGATTAACCAGGAAGACTTACTTGAAAAGTTGTAAGACTTTTAGCTAATTTTACAACTTAACTACTTTAAATTGTACCCCAGTTAAGAGCTACATCAAGTTGTAACTGAAATGTGTTATTAAAAATTACTTGACATAGTTATGTCACTTATAATCAGCCCCCTCTTAACTTAATTTGAATAAAACCCCATATAATTTACAGGTATAAAAGATTTAAATTCTGCATGCCGAAACAACAACGAAAAAAAAAAAAAACCAGCAGCCACATACTTAACTATGTGAATTACATTTTTACTTTATTCTTCATATTGGTCTTTTGATGTTGTCCATAAAAACTTAAGTCTTACGCTGAATCTATACATTTTGCTTTCAGCATGTTGAGACCAAAATATTTTCAAAAAATTATTAAAACAGAACTTGAGTTTTCAGAATAAGAAAGGGTCTGGGAACGCCCAGAAAGCACGATTTTGCATCATTTGTTCTATAGTTTCTTTGGGCAAACAGCGGCTTCAAAACACTTCAAATTTTTTTGCCTCGCTCCGCTCGGTGTAAATATATTTGGCAATACTTTTAAAAGAGGCTAGT